GAGGATGATCTTTGCTTCATATATGGCCTTGTCACCGAAGCGGACGCGAATCCTGGAACCCACAGGAATTACCTTGAAGATTGTAATAATAGGATTTAAGAATATGTAAATAAAATCCGACTCTTAAAGAATCCTTGCATAATTTAATGAGACTCGATTTTTCATTTTAAAGGAAAATTTTGTTGGAAGGAATTCATAAATTAGTCCGACCCAAAGCTGAAGTAGGGTTGCCGTAGAGTATAGAGCATTAAATCCCTAAACATTCCTACACTTACTATGAGGCGACCCCAATTAATCGGTTCTGAGCTCACATCAATCAAGTGGCAGACATCGTAAAAACGAGAAATAATCATGTACAAAGAAATTCAAAACATACATACATAGATGAAGAAAGCAAAGAAATATATGTGCCGCTGGATATTGAACGTCTAATTATTGCCCTACTCATTTTCGATGACATCAAAACCTTTGATAATGTACCAGACCAGGATCACAATAGAAGAGAGGGAAAGTAGAAAGAGTATTCTCAAAGCTTTTCAGTCATTATGAGCTAAATACGTTATTTTTTTTTAGATTAATTGTCTCACTTACTTGCTTTGTAGATTGAACAAATCGTTCATCCGAAAGCAGGTCGGTCGGGCGATGCTTTGCCACGTGTTTCTTTGCGATGTCTTCAGTCTGAGAAATCATTTTCACCGACGATTTAGCGGGTGAGTCTTTTTCAGCTGATAGCTTAGCATCTTCTGCAATCGGATCAGTCGATTCAGCTTTTACTGCATCAAGAGGTTGTGAAGCTTGAGTTTGGCCAGAATCCATCGCATTTGAGTCGCCTTTGTCAAGAAGCAGCTGACTTATTCGTCTTCGATTAGGTCGACGGCTCCGGCAAGAACTGGGGGCCGAGGACTCCTCTTTGAGAGAGGGACTCGAATTTAAACTAGACTCAGAGCTGGAATGCGTGGAAGCCTCTGGAAGATCTGGCGATGCAGTTGACGTAACAGTTGGGAAGTAGCAACTGCCAGTAGTGAAGGCCTTTTTAGAGCCCTTTAAAGCAGAAGTTACTGCCTCCGGTTTAATGGATTTTTCAGGGTTATATGGTGAGTTCAATGAAGAGATGTTTTCCTCCGGACCTGCAAAAGCATGATCACTAAGAGAACTATTGGATATATCACCACCACTAGAGCCACTACCAGAAGAAGTCACTGCGACAGGGCGGGTTGAGCTAGGTTTGCCTGAGTTGCGCTTAATAGAGTTAGCCGGCTTTGAGGTGATATTAATAAAGATAATGGATTAAATTTGTTTATTAAAAAATAGTGATAAAACTGCAAGGATTAATTGTCAAGATTTTTTTATTTATTCATTTATTTTTCGAGTATAATAGGATTTGGTTCGAAGTAAAAAGCAACTCTTTAATTTTCAAATATAAGTGCTCAGCAAAATTAATGTTAGGTACCATCTAGTTGGGTTGCGAGCCCCATTGTTGACAGTAAGCAAAGTTAAAGTTACGAAATTGTAAACAATTAAGCCTGATTTATATATATATATATATATATAAACCTAATAAACAGACCTATCGAGATGTAGTAAAAATTTGAGAGGAATTAGGAGAAGGCTGTCTATACTGATGGGGAAGCATGACTCAATCAGATCACCTTAAGAAAGAGTAATTTATAAAGACATGCAAGGGTTAGTAATTTGGAATAAAATAGACAGAGATCTAAATAAATAAAAACACATAAATGTGGAATTACGTCAAATTAACAAAAGTAGTTCAGATAATGTGCTAATGCAATTACATTGGTGTGTATTTTTTCGCCCATAATTTCCCCGTCAACTACTAGACATTTTCGCTCATAAAAAATGCATAAGTTAAGGAAAATGGCCAAACATAAATATGCATGTGTATGCTTCAATAATTTTAGATCTTAAATAAAGATTGTACTACACGTCAGATAAGGTGATTGTGGAATGAGTCGAATTGCCCTATAATGAAATGCCCAGGCCTGACAATGCTACTGAATGTTACTTAGCCTTGCTTCCCAAAATATTTTTCTCATCCAGGATGAACTAGAGTTTTGACCTCGCCTAGGTCTCATCGGTAACATAAACTGGATTAGAAACTGGGCGACGTGCGTAAAGGTAGCAACGTGGCCATTAAGTGACATGGCCACGAGTAATATCTGACTTTCAAGAGAAATATGGCCTCTCAAAAATAACATTTTAATAGTGGGATTGTCGATGAGGCAAACTCCTATTTGCCATTACAATCTACTAGGCTACTTATATTAATAATAAGTACTTAGTAAGACATAGTTGATATCACTTTGAAGTAAATCTCTTTGATTCATTATAATACTTTATTTACGCTCTATTTTTTAGGCGTATAGATGACTTCATAATTCCAATTTAAACCTTAAAATTAAGATTAGAGAAAAATAGATAGAAATACTGCATATTCAGTGTTCCTAGAGCCTTTTCTTCTAAGATGTTTATCTTTTAAATGACCTGAATCTCCATTAAAGTGGAAAAGAATTATATTGCTCTAATTCCATGGGGAAAATCCTATAATGTTGGAGTACCTTTTGTTTCGTTTGAAGAGGCGAGTGGAAATTATTCGTAAATTGGTGTCCTGCAAGCCAGAGGATTTCCTTAGGAACGTGAGTGAATATTTGTCAGAATAAATCTCGGCTCATTGCCCCACCACGCCTTGATGAGATTTACTCGGTCATGACGAATATCATACGAGTAGGACATCATGCTTTACGATGATCCACCAAGCATGAATACATAAAGAATGGTTGGCTGCAATCCTACCTACTTCTTATATCCTTACTTTGTCAACTTGTTTTTGTGCTCATGCTTCGGTCATCTATTGTTAAGCAATGTGTCATGGTCTGATGAGCACAGTCAAATAACGGACAAAAGCTCATTAATGATTCACCGGGGTCACATGACGGTCAGCGAATAACCTATTTGCACAAATCTAATCACAGCTCCAAGGCAATTCTACGCCAGCTAATGGTAAGGCTAGTTTACGAATCCCTCGTTTTCGCACTTTCATCGGAATGGCAGGGAGACCCTGTGGAACGTACATGGTCCCGCCTCCTCTGCCATAATGTTCGTCACGATTTCCAGCATTGGACCGTTGACTTGGCACACTCCCAGACGTTTTGCTAGCATAGTAGTCGGTATCGTCAGCAAGAGGCGCTATACCTAGTACAGAGCAATAACTTATCAGTGACAAAGGAAAACAATCCTCTTGACCAATTTTCTGTTAAATCGTGGCATCATTCCTTTTGTCATATCTTCCATTACTTTATCTCTTTCTCTCAACCCCACTTCATATGGCTTATTTACCTATTTACACAATTATGTGTTCTCGTCTTCTCCAATGTCTCTGAGTGCGCCGCTTCAAATGGATTTAATGAAGCGTAACCACCTTCACCACCGGTTTCAGATGTCGTTGGCAGGGCTTCTGGGCCGGCCTCTGGCTTTCATTTAGACCCCCCTCTGCCCCGCTTGTCAGTTGTTTCTTGCAACGCATGAAATTCCCTGTATGTTTGTCTGAAATCTGGCTGTCTATGAGCCTTCGATTCCGGTCCCAGTCTACGTCATATTCGAGGATTTAAAAACCAGTGACTCTCGTGCCTTGGCATCTTCTTCTTCCTCGGCTCCATTTTGTCGGCTCCTTCATGTTTTTTGGACAAGACGATGAAGATGGTTGGTCTTTCCTTCAGGATTGTACGGATATTCCATTTCGTTAGCAGCGGCCATACCATTCGATACAATTCGCAAGAGAGTAGACGCATCAATAGTCTTTTCTCTATTGCTCTTGCTTTCCTTTCATAAGAACCGTCCTGCCATCTGATCATCACGATCGGCATATTGCCTTTCTGGATATCCGATTCCAATAAATAGCTGAGCTTGCTTATTCAATTTATCTTTCCCAAACTCTATATCGATTAATCCCCCCGTCGCTCGGACCAAGTTGCGAAAAGGATGTCAAATAAACACTATGCAGATAAAGGAGATTGCGAACAAACAAAAGGCCACACAATCCTGGCCTCCTTTTATACGGTAAAGATATTTTACTTAAAGAGAGTAGGCTGTTTCGGTAATGAAAATGTATTATAATTTATTATAATATATTATTATAATATCATTGTATTATACTTATTTGATTAGGTTTCAAGCAAAAAGATAGGAATGTAAAGTGATAGTAACCCATTATGCCATAATAACATCGAAGTGATAATGAGTCACCTTGGCCTTAGCCTTCGTTGTACTGGCTCTCCTGGGGGTCTGATCACTGGCTACGCCAGATTTA